GGTAGTACGGCTACTGGGGGCTCTTAAGACAGATTTACGTTGTAAATCAAGAGCAAACAGCTCCACAGAGTGATTTAAAACATTGTGAGTTTGGCCAGAAAGCCATGGACTATAAAGATGGATAGATTTTGACTGTTGAGAAGATAAATAAAAAAGATGACCTGTGGGCATCACAGGAAGAGGCAGTGGGTCTCTACCCTTTGCAGCCTCAAAACTGCAAAGATTTTGCTTAGAGGAGAAAGCTGCAGAATGCCATGCTCCAGAATGATGGTGGTGGTCACACCAGGTTTCAGAATGGAGGTAACACAGAATCTGTTCCTCACAATCAAGTTCAGAGTGCCCAAAGATCCAGACACTTGACTCCTACAGCCAAGAGAGAGGAAAACCTGGCTACCACTCTAGCTGGCAGTAGACCATGGCAGCATCCACGTGGCACTGGTTTTAGATGCATAGAGAATGCATAAATTCTGAGGTTAAGGCAGCTTCCACCTGATTTCAGAAGGCCTAGCGGGCCAGGCAGCATGCCCCTGAGAGGGCAGTGTGTGAACCTGTGAGTGTGGAGCCAAAGATGCAATGGAGAACCTAGAAGTTTAAAAAATCCAGGAGCATGTATCATCTAAGGAAGGATTTAGCAGACTGGGCCTAAAAGAGACGTCCTGGGACCTATAACCACCAGAAGTGCCATGAGGGTAGAACCAAACAAGCCCTTTGGAGTTTACAATTTACCACAGATTGCTTCCGATGTTCAACGTGTAACTATAGGACTTTACATTTGCCCTGCTGCTTGTATTTTGGAATGGGAGTGTTTATCTTGTGCCACTGTATGTTGAGAGTGTTTAACTTTGTTTTCATTTGTACAGAAAGTTACAGCTAACAGTTTGCCTTTCATCTCAGAGGAGACTCGGGACTTGACCTTTTCAGCAATGCTAAAACTGCTTGGAATTTAGCAACTCTTGAAGGTGGACTAAATGTCTTTTGTATAAAGGATATGCATGAGTATTTGGAGGGCCAGGGGTGGAAGATTATGGTTTGTTTTCAGATGGCACCCCAAGCCTCATGCAATCATGGAGGCAACTGAATCTAGCATTTGTGGTTCTTTGTTTAGCACTGGGATTGGCAATATGAGTCTTGCACTGCCCAGGGGCGGGGAGCAGGCATACAGTGTAAGGGAGGGAAGGAGGTGTGCTTTCCCTCTTTTGCCCTTTCACTCTTGCTGCTTGCAGTGGCCATGAACCATTGCCCCTTAGCCACATCACCTTGCCATGGAGCCAGCCAAGTGTGGACTGAAACCTCCAAAAATTGTAAGCTAAATAAACCTTTCCTTTCCTAATTTTGGGTATAAGGATTTTTTCTTAACAATAAGAAAAAAGTAACCAAGACAGCCTCTCAAGTGTGGAATACTTTCCTCAAAGAAAAAAAAAGTCTGTGGCCCTGTTGAGATGAGAATTTAGTTTAGTAGGCTGGTATTACATAATACTGCCTCTTTCATATTTCTGATCAGGATTTGGAAGCCAAGTCCAGGATCTCAAATGAATCTTTGAAGAGAATCCAGTGGAGAATGAAGAAAGTATGGAGGTGACATGAATAAAGACAATACAACTTAATGTATAGTGGCTCTGAAAGTTGGCTCCATGTCCAGCTGTGAGTCTATGATTTCATCTCTAGACTCACATATCACCATAGCCAAGTCACGTATTTGTCTGACCTTCAGTTTTATCATATGTAAATGTATCTGAAATGAAACTAGGAAGTAATCAGGAAGATACAATAAAACAATGTGTAAAAGAATATTAACACTGGTATTCTTTCCTACTTAGCACAATCAAGAAACAGTCTCATCTTACTCTGAATTTTTGAACATTTGCACACTAATGACCAGGACAGATGAGATAATATGATAGAAAGAGAACAGACTTACACACAGAGAACATCTTGTTTTGTGAAATGAATTGTGTAATCACATTCTTTCCACATTGTATCACTTGCTCCTTAGCCACTGCATAGAGATGGCCAAACCTCTGCTATTATGGAAAGCTCTACTGTTGGACCTACTAAACTATGAGGTTGCGAAGGGGAGTTATTGGAGAGAATGGTGTTGGAATAATGACCAAAGGAGCTTGGTCCCTTAGGCATCTTCTGTTAAAAGCTGTCTCCAGAGAGACACAGAAGAGAAGAAAAAGGAAAACTTCTCTGGACACAATGAATCATACTTCTTATCAGCATAGGGTGCAGTTCGAAAGGAATGCATGCCCAACAATTCCTGAACACAGAGAGTCTCAGCCTTTTTGGCTCTGCAGGACAACTTAATGGCTATAGGAGATTTTCCAGCACAGTAATAGAATTTTGTAGGGAAGAAAGTGAAAAAAAAAAAATCCAACTTACTGAATAAAGCCCAAAGCACCACACCAGAACTTATCCTATTTTAGCTTCAAGTAAACAAAAATTACCCCATTATCAGTGCCAAGATGTCTCTGTTGTTGCAAGGTATGCAGAAGGATGGCAACAGATTTTTCATTCTGATCTCAGGGCTCATGTTCCTTGCAGGGTATAGAGGAATGGGACTTTTCAATACCAAGAAGTGTGTGCCCCCATCATGCTTCCCCTAACTGCCTCCACCTCCGCGCTACTATCCTAATCCAAGCCACCCTCATCTCCTCATCTGCAACTATCACCGGACAGTCCATTCTCTACAGAGCTTTCCAAGTGAGCTTTTAGGTAACAGCTTCACTGACATGTATTTCACATGCTATAAAATGCTCATTTACAATTCAGAGTTTTTCATATTTTCATAGAGTTGTGCAAATATCAACCCAATCTAATTTTAGAACATTTTCATTATTTCAAAAAGTAACCCAATGCCCATTAGTAGTTACTTCCCATTGGATTGTTTATTCTTTTTATTGCTGAATTATAAATTCCTTGTATAGTCTACATACAAGTTCAAATGATTTCCTTCAAGAAGTATATCAAAATTTTTTACTCCATTTCTTATACTCCTGTAATAGTTCCTTAAGAAGATTAGAATAAAGCTCAGAATTCTCACTCTGGTTTACACACAGAGCCCTATATGATTTGGCCCTTGCCAGGTTCCCCAGTGCCAAGTTGTATCCACTTTCTCACTCAGATTAAACATTGTAGTTACAGCAGTTTTCTTTCTGCCCTTGACATGTAGGAAGTGCATGTCTCATGTGTTGGCACCACAGTATTAGCTGTCCCATCTACATACTTGAGATTCTCTTTCCTTGGACGATGGTTCCTTCTCATCATTCAGATCTCCATCCCAACTTTTCAGACAAATATTCCTGAAAAAAATCTACCTAAATTAGTTTCTCCTCCACAAAAAAACTTTGGGGTAGGATAGAAATGTTTTATTATTTTGGCTGTGTAATGGTTTCATGAATATATATTTATGCCAAAGTTTTTCAAACTGTATGCTTTAAATATGTCATTTATTTTATGTCAATTATACTTCAATAGAGCTATTAAACAAAAAATTAGCTTAAAACCATATGTTCACTCTCTTCATCTTATCAGAATTTGTACCGATTTTTCTCTAGAAATTATCAGTCCTAAATGCCTGTCTGACTGCTGCCCTTCCTTTATTCCCTCCTTCCCCTCCCCTCCCCTTTTTTCTTCTCTTCTCCTCTCCCCTGCTTCCTCTCCTCTTCCCTTCCTTCTCTTCCCCCTACTCCTCTCAACCCTCTCCCCTTCTATACTTCATCCTTCCTCTCTGTACTAGGCATTGAACCTAGAGCCTTTCTTATCCTAAGCACACAATAAGCCCCTGAAATGACCCTACTTCTTGATTTAAATGTTTATTTTCTGTCTCACTCCACTGGCAGGAACATTGCTCTTCTTTGTCACTGTTATATTTTCAGTTTGGCTTGCATTAAGGTGTTCAATAAATATTTGGCTAATTGAATGAATTCAATTTAGAAAAGAAACTCAGACAAGAGGAGGAGTGACTTTTCCTCCTCAAATTTATTTTATATTATTTATTTGGTACTGGGAATTGAACTTAGGACCTTGTGCTTACTGGGCAGGTGCTGTGCTGCTGAGCAATATCCCTGGCTCCCTTCCCTCAAATTTAGTAGTACCGTTTAGACCAAAGAGGATGGGATTATTATTTTCTTAAGAGCAGTTATCTCAAAATCTACCCTGGATGATCTTCATTATCACCCTCAAAAGTATTGTTTATGACTCATTTAGTCTATGGCACTACTGTAGTATTTTATATATACTTTCCCACTGGTTGTGTTTAGTTTGTAAGAGTATTATAATGATGATAATGTAGCACAATATAATATAATCTACTATAGTAGTGTAGTACAATATACTATAATAAGACAGCATATTATATAATAATTATGCTGAATATAACATATAACTAATAATAGCAGGAGTAATATAATAAAAATTGTCTTAGTATTTATTTGACAGATGTAAGCATTTTGTCCATGTACCTCATTTATTCCTTACAATAACTTTATGAAGTAGATTTTTTTATAAATGTGGAATTAGAGATTTAATGAGGTAAATTAACTCCTTAAAGCCACACAGGCAAAAAAAATATAGGTGGATCTCAAACCTACAATTGTCTTACTTAAAAGTCCAGTGATTTTTTTATCAAGCAACTGTTTTCTCAGTTGTACTTATGTGACACTTATAGCTCACTGCAAAACAAGTAGGACCCCTCAGGAAGATGTTTACTTTGAGATGATACTATTCAAAATTGCAAATGGCTTGGGGCAAAACTAAGACAGATAAGAAGGTAGTTGCCTGAAAATAAATGAAGATATTCTGACAAAGAATTTGTACTTTCCCCCAAATTCTATGTTTGGCTTCATTTGACATTTAATTCTTCACTCTTAAATTCTTGCTTCATACCTAAGTTGCTAGCCCTTGACCTTCCCATATTAGTGAAGCGTGTTGGCAAAGACAAGTTGACCAGTGACAGACCTGGGTGATCTCCCTCATTATCTCAGCAGATAGGCCTTTACCTTTGGTGCCAGGTGGCTGCAGGTTGTCTCCAGTCAAGGAACACCAGCCCACAGGAAAGATGTCCCGGGAGTCGAAGCGGCACCAGTAGTCAAAGGCCCCTCGCCACCCGTCAAAAGTGACAAGCACCTCTGAGCCCCGAACCTCCCCAATAGTGGCTGGGCAAATAAAATGAGGGTTCTTCCTGTCCACCGCTTCTAGTTTCATTCCCATTTTGAAGAAGTTGTGGGAAGGTGATGGTGGCTCCTAGATGAGAAAGAGAGATACACAGACCTAGACACAAAAAAGAGGCTGGGTATGTCAACAGACTGTATGCTAAACATTTGGATGATTAGACTCTGACTTCTAAGCAAGATTTAGTCTCTCCTTTAAATGGATTTCAAAATATACTGAAGTATTACTTTTTAATCCTAACATTTTGACACATTACAGTTATTTTTTAAATAAAAGATTATAGATAAAGTTCAACGTCTCTTTGTGCTCTTCCTCATTCCAGTTCCTTCCACCTACCACAGGGGCATTATCATACTTTATTCTTATACTTTATTATTAAACCTTACATATCCACTTGTATGCTTTTAAATTTTATATAAATGGTGCTGGTCTCTGTACATATCATTTTATACTTGCTATATTTGTTCAACATGGATGACTGTGCCATCAGGTGGCTTGAACCACTGGTGGTAGAAATGGTACAGTCATGTATGGGGCAGACCTGTATATAACTGTTGGTTGAAGCGGCCCAGCATTGAGATATATGAACTACGAACCCTGCGTGGTATGTGTTAAACTGGGAAGGGTAGTGTAAATCTATAATTTCAGCATTTTGGGAAGCTGAGTCAAGAGGACTGAAAATTTGAGCTGGGCCACAGTAATGCAGTAGCTCCCTGATACCAAACCAAACCAAACCAAACCAACCAAACCAAACCAAACCAAACCTTACCAACAAACCTCATCTTTGTTTTAGTCCCAAATAATACAAGAACGTCAGAATATTTTAACTACTCTTAGGTTATATAGGTGTAGATAATTTAGTTCTACATTGTTATACTACCGATTAATCACTTCTGTTGTTATAGTTTACATTATTTATTTGTTTATTTGTTTATTGACAGAGTCCTGCTATGTACTCAGGATGGCTTTGAACTCACTATGCAGCCCAAGGTGGCCTCGAATTTGCAATAGTTCTTCTGCCTTGGTCTCCTGAGTGCTGCGATGTGCTCATCACACCCATCTTATTCTGTACAGTTTATACGCAAGTTAAGAAACAAATTTCTTAGCATTAGTGTTATATATATATATATATATATATATATATATATATATATAATAAAGAGAACAGTATAACAGATGTTATTTATTTTAAAATTACTAATCATATGCTATTTTTAAACACTTTAACCTATACCTTATTCTCTTAAATTTTTAAATTTAAGTATTTTTTGGTACCAGGGATTGAAATGACCTAGTGCTTGTTAGACAGGTGCTTATGCTGCTGAGCTAAATTCCCAGTCCTCTCTTAGTTTTTTAAAATATGGAATGTTTCATGAATTTGAGTGATAGCTTTGTACAGGGATCATGCTCATCTTTGTACTGTTTCAATTTCAGAATATGTACAGCTAAAGCAATCATGCATCATTACTCCCTACATCTCATTCTCACTTTATGGTTCAATTACCTGCTTACTAAAACATATTCTTCAATTGCTCACTTAGTGTATATGTTAGTATATACTTATCCTACATTAGCATGTTTGACAAGTCTAATTTTTTATTTTTATTCCAAAATAATAGTATAACTATAGAATTCTAAGTAGATAACTATTTTTTATCTCTTGATACAGGGGATCAAACTCACAACCTTGTGCTTGTCAGGCAGTGCTTATGCCACTGAGCTAAATCCCCAGCCCTAGATAACTATTTTTATCAGTACTTTAAAATATTATTCTATTACATTCTTGCTCATATTGCTGCTATCAAGAAATGTGCTTTCAGCTACCTGTGATCTCTTGAAAGATACTGTTTGATTACTTCTCAGATCTCTCAACCTTAGATTTCAATAGTTACAAGATGATGTTTTAAGGTGTGTATTTGTTTTTATTCCACACTTTGGAAAACTTATGTTTTTTAAAGAATTAATTTTATTTGGTACATTTTTTACATACATAATGATCACATTCATCATAGGGAATTTGGTACCCATATACAATATTATTAACTTTTTCCCTCCATTCCTCTTCATTCCCCCTTCAATTCTTCTTCCTCTCTCCATTTACAAAACTTAGAAAACTCAGTTTTTATCTTTTAAAGTAGTCTCTTTTTAATTCTAACTAATGTTTTTTAAAATTTAATATTTAGCATCTATTTGTTCTTCTAATAGTTCCAACTATTTGTGCAATGCACTTTGGTGACATCTCTTACATGTCTTTCACTTAATTCATTATGTATATATGTTTAAATTATTACTGATTTTTAATTTTAATTGTTTGAAATTTCTGGATGTTTCATTTCTATATGTTCAACTTCGTCTTTTTTCTAAACTGACTGCTAAAAATAATGCTAAAAAATGTCTCATTTTTATTTCTTCTTTTAGTCCTTTAGACATTTTTAAATAATTCATAATTTCTAGCTGATACTTCTATTACCAGAGAGTTCTTGGGAATTACATTGCTGTTTGTTGTGTCTAGTGACTCCCCAGTAAAACAGATATGTTTTGAAAGTTTCAGAGCACTTTCTAATTTGAAAATAAGTGCTCACTTTTAGAGGTACTATGTTTTGGGGATCTCTGTGACATTAAAGTCTCCAGAGAGAATCTGGGTTTACTTCTGTCAGGCACGTAGAGATATCACCACTCATACAAGTTTGGAGTTCTTAAGACAACACAGGGAGAATATGTGAACTCTCAGCTACAAAAGAGTAATTGTTTAATCAGATGAGGCGACTACATTGCCAACCCTGCCCAGTGCCCAACAGAGAACTGTTTCTCATTAAAGCAATCATCTTTTCACTAAAGGGTCTACACTTGAGGGGTCTGATTTCATTTTAATGTGGCACTTTAAGGTTCATTTACTTGTCTTGCATAAGAGCAAGTCATTTTATGTCTTACTAGGGACATAAAAAGACAAGATTCTTGGGGGGAAAAGGCTCCGTAAGGCAGTTACAGGTTCAGTACAAAACTTTGATGCTTTTCTTTCCTCATGTTTGGTCTGTGAAGAATTTTGTTACTTCTTGGTAAATTCGGCGAAGTACTGTAAAAAATATTTTTTGAGTCCCTCCTACCCATGGTACTCCACAGTATTCTATAGGGTAGGTTTTCAAGTTGCCCTGTACATTACGCTGGGAAACAGAATGCTTCCAGAATTTAGATTTAACTAGCAGCCCAGGCAAATGTAAAAAATTAAGTTTATTTTTAGTACACTTTAGGTATACTTAATAATCACATTCATCATAGAGAATTTGACTTGCATGTGTATCTTGATTCTTTTTTCTATCGTTTCCCTGGTGTCCCTTTGGTCTTTTTAATTTAGTCTTACAATAATTCTCACAACTGTTAGAGAATTCAGTATGTCCTACTTTAATTCAGGCTGCCTCCCCCTTTGAGAAATAAGGAAAAACAAACACAGGTTTGGGATTTCTCTTCTGCCACATATAATCTTGTGTGAGTTCCTTACTCAAAAGGATGTCACCTTAACTATTAAATGGAACTAATAATTCTCAGTCCATAAAGTTAGCTGGGGTATTGAATGAGACAGTAAATATAAAGCCCTAAACACTTTGTTGGCACTTGAAAAATAATTTTCTTCCTTTCTAACATACATTTTACAGAAGTCTCTAAGAATCATCCCTTTAGATCTGCATTGTATTTTAGAGTTCTACTAATAAACACACTTTAACTTCTTAAAAACTCTATAAAGTAAAATGGAATTTCACTTATAGGTGAAATTTCACTTAAAGGTGTAAAAGGATCTTATTATTAACTTTGTTGATTATTGACAGATGGGACCCAAAATCCAGGACTCCTATCTTATTACAGTCTGATACATTTTTCCAACAATAACTGCTGCTTAATAAGTATTAAAAATCTTACTGAATAAATTTCTGAGAATGTATCTTCAAGTCATAAATACCAATACCTGGGACTCATTAATTAAAAGGAGGTATTTGAATTTAAGCAGCTTGGAATTGGTGATACTGGAGGAACAGTGTACCTTGTGGAAAATCCTAATGGGAGCCATCTCTGCACCATTTAGTGTCTTCAAAAGGAACATAGGCCAGGAAGAGGCATTCAGCCGAAATCCTGCAACAAACATGATGAGAGAAAAATTTTTTAAAGTTTTAAAAAGGCATTGTTCTGTCAAGTTTTCTCTTTGAAATTCTGGTATCCTGGTCATAACCTGCACTGTGATAGTTGTAGAATCATGGGCTGCTAGGAAAGGATTTAAAAAGTAAGTAAAAGAAATGCCTTGTTATACAGATAAAAAGGAGGCACGCTGTAGGGAATATAATTTGTCCAGGCCAAATTTTTGAAACAGAGTCCCAAACCAAGTTTCCTGACTCCAGGATAAATATCACAAATATATATCATAATGTCTAGAATAGTTTCCTTGAGAAAACCAAAGCCAATACTTAAGAGATGATCTGAAGGTACAGTTGAGAAGGGGATCCTACATGGTGGCACATATGTGTAATCCTAGTACATTGGAGGTATGAGGCTAAAGGATTGCCACAGGTTTGAGACCAGGCTGAACTGCATAGCAAGAATCTGTCTCAATCACCCCCTACAAACACTACATTAAGGAGTTTGCCTAAAAGAGATACTGTGGTCTTATAATTACACTATTGTAGAATGTTTAATTTAAATGGATGCAGATTGTCTATAAAGACCACTTAACTATACAAATTATCATAAGTAACAGAGAACTGGGTACAATTACAAGTTCCTTTGAGTTGGTGCACTAAGCTGTTTTTCCAGTGAGGATTTCAGGTAGTCACCTTGGGTGGTCAGTGTTTTTGACAAACGAATCTAAGTATCTTTTCTTCTTCATTACACTGGATTGATGGACTAATCTTATTGTTGTGCTCAAATTTTGTATGCTCTTAAAATTAGTTTTATTGTAAGTAAACCTATGTCTACTTTAGAAGACTGGGAATAGAAAAAAATAAATTATTGTCATATTTTTTGGAGATTATTGTAATTACATAGGATTAAAATCAAATAATCATGAAAGTTTCTTGATTAATGAAAAGGGGGCCTAATAATCTCTTAGGAAGAAATCAACATATATCAACTTATGAGCTCAATTTACAATTAAATAATCTTGGTTTATTTCAATATAAACCATTTTTGTATCTCTTTCTCAATCACATGTGCTCTCACACAACAATTAGAAAATAATTGGGGGGGGTTCCAAGGATTGAACTCATGACCTTGAGCTTGCCAGGCAGGCGCTCATGCTACCAAGCTAAATCCCCAGCTCTACAAACATGTATTTTGATATTCCTTATTTAAATAACTAAGGAATAGAGAAAGATAATTGCCTATATCATCCTGTATTAAAATCTTCATGTTCTGAAAGAGTAACAAAAAGCCTGGAGAAGTTATTTGTTCATTGTCATCTACAAAATAAAAACAGCATAAATATATCATTTAATTAATGAATTATAAAACTAAGATCTTATTACAATTAGGTCTTCCAATTCTATCTCTAAGCATTTCTTTTGATTTAGCCATGTCTTCCTAAGATACTAAAATATAATGCTTTTTGATAGTCTCCCACCTACTCAGCATTCTCATTCCATCCAAAATAACAGATAAGGTACATCAAAGCTTCAGAGCTAGAAATAACAGTCTCTGCTATTCTTGAGTTTACTGTGTGCTAGGGCCAATTTCAATCACTTTCTACTACTGTCTAATTTAAGCTTCAAGATACCTCTGGGAGATTTAAATTGTTATCTTCATTTCATAAAGAAAGAAACAGGTAAAAGTCAATTAAGATTTTTAAGATTTCAGGATATGCAAATGACAAACATAGACTTAAAACCCAAGAAATCTGAATCCTGAGCCCACATTCTTACCCTTTTCTTAAACTGTCTATATGTAGGTAAAATGAAAAATAAAGAATCAGCTTTTGGGATTAAGTATTAATTATAGTTAGAATTAGGGAGAGAAGATGAGAGAAAATCAAATAGGACTGATAAAAGAGTTACACCTTTGGATGACAACCCCCACCCCTTTTTTGTTTCAACATTTGCTAGGCTAAACAAACTATCCTAAGTTCAAGAGAGCTCTTGGGATAGCTCATCTACATTAACAACTGAAATGGCAAGGCTAACGTTTAATCTAAAATACTGTATTAGAAATGATCTAGACAATAAAGTCAAAAAGGGAACTAATGGTCTCTTAAGAAGAAACTAAGATATCAACTGATAAGCCTAATGTATAAGTAAATCACTTTGGTTTATCTCAATATATAAAAATTCTTTTCCTTTTCTTTTTTCCTTACCTTATTTTACTTGCCTAGGGTTCCCTCCCCCCACCAATTTTTGAAAAAATAAAACAAAAATAAAAACACAACTGCGATTTTACATGATTTGATGGGGATGTCAATCAAATGGTCTTATCTATCTAGTTGAGGTGGGGGGCAGATAATGTCATTTAAGGGCGTCAGACTGCTCAGGATCTGTGATGGCAAACCTTTTAGAGCTTTCAACAATAACGAACAGCTGGCTGTGATAGGTATGCCTTCAGTTCATCACAACGAAATACAGACCAAGGATGTATATGTTTGTACCTCAAGTTAGGTCAGTTATTTTCTGACTACGTGGATGTTTGAGGAGAAAGTATTTTTCTGACATCATGGCTGTGAGCATGTGTGCAGATCTGACACTTCCACAAGGAGAACATACTAAACAGAGGTCAAAGTAGGATCAGAAATGAAGGGAAACCCTAGTTTAAAACCCACCTGCTTAGACACATTCAATACCAGATAACTCCTTGGACTTCTTGGTGATGAGTCAATAATCCCTAATATCTGCCTCCTTCCTTTTCCTCTGTCTTTACTTCTCTGAGTTAAGTTTTTGATCACTATTCTTTCTTAGACCATAGTTTAAAAACAGTATCACAACTCTACCACTACCATCAAAGCCTTCCGGAAATTCAGGCTTGGGTTGTGTGTGTGCATGTAACAACTCTCCTTAGAAGAGTTGGAAGGGCTGAAGTAAGCCAAACCTACAGCAGATTTGCCATGAAGGGTTTAGTACATTATAGATAAGGTACAGAAGGGCAGAATAGTTCCAGGAAAGTATTCCCTACGCTAGGTAAGGCCCCACAATTGCACAATTAGAAGATTCAGATTTCATGCCTTCAGTTCCTAATGACTGGAGTGCTCAGCCATCTAATTTCCAATTTCATATTAAGGAATGGATTTCTGAAGGTCTTCTATAGAACTTGAGGAGGTAAAACATCCGGTTAGCTCTGGGAATCTTTATAATAGTATTATTGTAATAGCTAGAATGTACTGAATGTATGCCATGTATAAATATTTTACATGATGTATCGTGGTCAATGTTTGAAATAATACAAGTCAGGCACATTTATTTCTAGTTTACTGATGAAACAGAAACAGAAGTAGCTTACCCAAAATTATGCTAATAAGTACTATTAACAGATTTCAGTACATGATGGTCTTACCCTAGAGTTCACAGTTCTTTACTGTTTTTCACTACCTTTTAGCAACCTTCTTCAAGAGTACAAAGGCAGAGTGCAAATGTTTCTAAGGAAACGCTAAGGTGTCTTATTCCAATGTGGAACTCTGTCCATCCAAATTTACATGTATCTGCCATTTGTTTCAATATTCTTAGTCATACACTGCACAGAATTAACACTAAAAGAGATTTCCAAGGCCAATTAGTACAAAGATTTTATATTGAAGATGACAAAACTAACGTGCAAAGAGGCTAAGAAACTTGTTCGTGGTCACCCAAGTTACTCTTGTAACACTGAGATTGGAATCCAAAGATTTCTAGTCTGTTTCCCTGCTCTACACTATGCTGTTTCCCAAAGTCAACATTTATTACGTACATATTATGGGTCAGGCTCCACTGAGACAACAGAGTTATATCATTTAATCACTACTACAACTCTAAATTAGACACTAGAAAAGTAGCACTGTTTCTGGAGCCAGCTGGTCTGGCTTGGACTCAAAGCCAGATCTGCCTTTTCCCAGGTGTGTAACTTTTGAACAAACTACAAAGCCTCTCTTTTGTTTCAGTTGCCTCAACAATAAAGTGGGATATAAAAATAGAAACTGTTTTATAGGTTGTTCCAATGATCAAGTAAGTTAATATAAAAGGACATAAAATGATGCCTGCCATATGATGTTATTAAGTGTTGCTTATTATTATAGGTAAACAGCTAGAAAAATTAAACATCCAAGGTTAGTAAGCTAGTAACAAAGCCAGAATTTGAATCCAACTCATGTTTCCAGACACTTCACTGTTTCTCATTATTCTTTTTTTTTTTTTTTTGTCTTTTTCCTTTTTATCGGTACCAGGGATCGAACTCATGACTACCTGCTTGCAAGGCAGGCGCTTATGCCGCTGAGCTAAATCCCCAGCCCCCATTGCTTCTCATTATATTCATCATATTAATATCTTCAGTAACTTCAACATTACTCCATACCAAATCTTGGTAAGAAAACTGAAGTTGTAAAGTTGTAAGAGAAAATCAAAAGGAGAATAAAACCATTTGGGGTTCTCTTCAAGTTAAACGAAGGCCTGGGGTTGCTTGCAAGGAAAAAACTCCTAACCTCCAAACATAAGAGTAGCTCAGGGCTCAGTCACTGCTTCTCCCTTCTTGGTCCCCGCTCTTTTTCATCAGACCATCACTGCAAGTTTGTATCTCTAGCTCAAACTTCTGACCTGAGCCTTATGCTCATGTATCTAACTGAATTAATAGCACTCCTCTGATATACATATGAAAGATCTCAACAAGAGTAAGTCTAACATATAACTTTGATTTTGCTATCTCTTCCAGTATGTTCTTTCCTTCAGACATTCTCTCAGTCAATGGCACCACTTATTAAAGTCAAGTGCTTACATAACAAAGTGTATGGATCACCCTAGATTTGTGCCTTCCCATAACCCCCAGACCAGATCTGACTAACAAGCAAGTCTTGATGGTATTTAAACTTAGTACATTCGAAAACGATTCTGTATCACCATTGCCACTGCTGTATCACTCTAAGCCACAGTCAAACTGACTACTAGTCATCTCACTGATTCCCTTTTTCTGACTGG